TAATGTAAATTCTGCATAGAAAATGGATTGAGAACCATTGGCTTTTTTCAATACAGAAATTACATCTATCATGGAATTAAAAATCCCTTTTTATACTTTTATTCTGGCAGTGATATGCTGAAGTGGCTATAGTAAAAACTAATTTTAAAATTCAAGTCATCAAACATTTATTAAATACTTTGTTTCATGTTACTCTGCTAACATTGGAAGAGATACAAAGTTTGTATAAAAGCTGGTTCCTGTACTCTTGGAATTTATAGTCTAGTATAAGGAAAAGACAAACACAGGTATGCAACATTACGTAAATTCATTAGAGATTTGTGAAATGATGTTCTCTATGAGGTAGAAAAGGAAAAGCCATTTTCTGCTGAAAGGATATGAGTATGCTTTCTCATGATGATAGTATTTAAATAGGGTTCTAAAGGATGACTAAGAATTGAGTACATGAAGAGAGAGGTCATTCTAGGTTTAGAGATCAATCAACAATCATGTATTAAGCACCTACTATATACTATGTATTAAGTACCTACTATGTACATTGTGCTGAAAAAGTATGAGCAATTCAGTTTAGCAACAAACTTTTTATTAAGCACCTACTGTGTGTGAGGCATTATACTAGGAATATAATAAAATAGAAAAAAAAGGAGATAGTTCTGTCCCTTAAGGAAAAAAAGTGATCTGTGGGGTAATCTTTGGAAGGAGCATTCAAGCACAAGCAGAGGGGTTAACCTTAACCAGGAGTTGGACCGCCTTATCCTCTTAGAGACTAGAACAAAGGAGAATAAGATGGGAAAAGAATATGGGAAGAGAGAGGAGGCAGTTTGTCTGACATGTAGAGTGCATGGAGAGTAATAATATAAGAGATTAGAAACATAAATTAGTACTAGATTATAGAAGGTCTTGAAAACTGGGCAGAAGAATTTGAATTTCACTCAGCAGTCAAAGGGAAGCATTTGTATCTTTTGAGTAGAGGATAACATGACCAGATTGGTGTGTAAGAAAGATTATTTTGGCAGCAGCTCATATATGGATGGTGGCATGTATATAGGGAGGGGAAGGAAGAGGGGAAATTAGAAAATGTATAAGTCATAATTAAGGCCTAAACTGGGTTGGTTGGTAGAGGTCAAGAAGAGATGTTTAAAATTTTATTTTATGTTACTAAATAAGTTTTTATTGAGGTATTCTGTTTCTCACATCATCATAGGTATCCCCAGTATCTTTTCCCCTCCTCATCCTAGACAGCCATCCCGTACAACAAACAATATTTTTTAAAGAAGAAAAATCAGCACAACTGATTGATAGGTTGAAAAAGTACCAAAGCATGTGCAATATGTAACAACTGTGGCCCCCTCACCTCTGTGAATAGGTGGGTTTGGGGTGTTTCCTCATACTGTTTCATTGGAGCTGTGGTTGAACTTTATAGTTTTGCTACATTCACTTTTGATTTTTTGGTGTGCGGTTGTTCTTTCCAATGACATTGTAAGTACCGTGTGTATTGTTTTCTTGTCTCTGCTTTCTTCACTATCAGTTCTTTTAGATTTTTCTATGCTTCCCTGTATTCTCACACCATTTCTTAAAACACAGTAATATTCCATTCCATTCGCATACCACAATTTGTGTAGCCATTCCCCAGTCACTGGGCATCTACTTTGTTTCCAATTCTTTGCTATTGCAAAAAGTGCTGCTATAAATATTTTGGTGAACATGGGGACTTTCTTGATGACTTCCTCAGAGTATAAGCTCAGTAATTACAGTATTTGGTTCAGAGTATATGGATACTTTAGTCACTTTATTTGCATAATTCCAAATTGCTTTCCAAAATGGTTATACCATTTCACAGCTATACCAACAATGTATTAGTATGCTTATCATTCCACAATGCCTGCAACACTAAATATTGCCATTTTTTGTTGTCTTTGCCAATTTGCAGGGTGTGAAGTGAAACTTCAGGATTGTATTGGTATGATTAATGACTTGGAGCATTCTTTCAATTGATTGTAAATACTTAGCAGTTCTTCTTTTGAAAACCCTTTGTGTCCTTTGACCACTTTTCTATTAGGGACTGGCTATTACACACACACACACACACGAACATATATATATATACACACACACACACATACATATTTAATAATTGTTTATATATCTGGAATACCAAACCCTTGTCAGAAAAATTTGATACAAAGATCTTTTTTTTCCCCATTTGGCTAGAGCAATGGTATCAAACTGAAATTGAAATGAATTCCTTTGGGTGGCATATTGACTTTTAAAAAACCAAATATTAATATTATCTATTTTGTATTATATTTTTATTTATTTTGTTAAAAATTTCTCAATTACATTTTAATCTGGTTTGGCCCATTCAGGAGTTTTTGAGAAATATTGTAGGGGTGGATTTAAAAGGACTTGATAACTGAGGACAGTTAGGTAGTGCAGTAGATACAGTGTCAGGCTTGGAATCAGGAAGACTCATCTTCCTGAGTTCAAATCCAGCTACAGACACTTACTGGCTGGTTGACCCTGGGCAAATCATTGAGTGCTGTTTGCCTCAGTTTCCTCATCTATCTGTAAAATGTAAAATGAGATGGAGAAGGAAATAGCAAAGCACTCCAGTATCTTTGCCAAGAAAAGCCCCAAAAGGGTCACAGAGAGTTGTTGGACACTAATGAAATGACTGGATAACATTTTTGTTTGAGATTTCTATTTGAAACCTTGAGATTAACTTTAATGGTTTGTTTCCCTTCAATCTCACAGCATTCAATATTGCGTGTTCAATATGTAACAACTGTGGCCCCCTCACCTCCATGAGTAGGTGGGTTTGGGAAGCAAATTTAGGCTTGGTGTCAGGGGAAAAAAAAGCTTTTCAGCAATTAGAGCTATCCAAAAGTATAATGGGCTCTCTCAGGAGTCTCTTCCCCCCTCCCCCCTCCCCCCCATGAAAGTCTGCAAGCCATGGCTGGGTGACTAATTGGTGTATATATTGAATATCTGTTTTTCTGAGTATCTGTTTTTTTGACTATGTATTAGGCTGATAGTCACCTAGGTCCTTTCTTTCTCTGAAATCCTGGGTTTCTTTGAAAAGAATGATATATACATATAAACATTTTGGTAGTAGACTTTAGTTCCAAGAAGATTAAGTGAAAGCACAGAGCTACCTTGTGGAAGACTTGAATTTGAATCCCAAGTTTCCTTGATTCATACAAACATTTGTTAAGTGCCTATTATGCATTTTCTAGTCCTTCAAGGAGTAGGTAAATAGAGTTGAAAAATGACATAATCTCTGTCTGTCCTTAGGAGGCTTAGAATATTTTAAAAAATTAACTTTTTTTTATTACATTGAACTGCAGAAACATCAACAAATAAGAGCATTTTAATATACAAAGAACAGAAAAAGAGGATTGTACATTAAACCTCATAATAATGACATATATATATATAGTAGTAATCCTTATAATATGCAGATTTCATTTTTAAAAGAAAAGTATACATTCACATTTATTTTAAAGCTATAGTGCACCTCTCTGTCTTCTTGTACATCTCTTTTTGTTCTCTTCTGAGTATTTTTTTAAAATGAGGTTGCAATCTAATAGGAGACTGTCCCTATACATAGTTATATACTAAGTATGATACGAGATAGAATGTGATAAGTGCAAAGGAGTGATCCAGGAAAAATGCTATAATAAAATTTTGAGGAGAAATCACCTTATGACCCTAAGTTTGGTGGGAAGATAGGAATGCTTTATGGAGGAGCTTGCACCTTAACTGAGCCTTGAAAAAAGAGAGATTTCAAAAGACCAAGTGCATGAAGGTCAGGAGGCAGCAAAGTACAAAAGGAACTAATTGGGGGCCATTTGTAATAGGCTGGGGCAGCTAGGTGACACAGTGGATAGAGTGCAGGGCCTAGAGTCAGGAAGATCCATCTTCCTGAGTTCAAATCTGGCTTATGACACTTATTAGCTGTGGGACCTAGAGCAAATCACTTAACTCTGTTTGCCTCAGTTTCCTTATCTGCGAAATGATCTGGAGAAGGAAATGGCAAACCACTCCAGTATTTTTGCCAAGAAAACCCCAAATGGGGTCATGAAGAGTCAGACATGACTGAAATGACTGAACAGCAACAAAAATAATAGTCTAAGTAGTTCCCTATATGAAATAGGAAGGCTTTTAAAACAGGAGAGTGACATGTTTAGACCTGTACATTAGGAAGCTTACTTTGACAACTAAGAGACAGATTGAGGAGGAGATAAATTAAAGGTGGCAAGACCAACTAGGAAGTTGTTACAATAGAAAAGGTAAGATAGGTCAGTGGTTGCAGTGTGAGGAAAGATAGATGTGAGAAATACTGTAAAGATAAAAATCAAGAGATTTTGACCACTGATTGGAGGTAGGGTGTAAATAATTTAATTCCACTAATATATTGAGCACCTACTAAGCAAAAATAAAAGAATCTCTGTCCTCAGTGAGCTTAAGCATGAAGGAAGCATCAAAGTGATTCTAAAGTTATTTGTCTCAATGACTGGAAAGATAATGTTTCTACTTTAATAGAAATAACATGTTGAAGGGAAGATGAGTTAAATTTTGCACAAGTTGAATGTGGAGGTGTTGGTTAAAATAGAAATGTCTAGGAAAATATTGGAAATATAGTACTCCTACTCCATACTTCAGTTATACATAAACACATACATAGAAACATATACAGATACACAGACACACACACATACTTCAATACTGATGTAATCCAAGATTTCACCTGCATAGGCACACCCTTCACCACTGTAGTTCGCTACTCTTTTCACCTTATTAGATCATCCTTGGATCCCAGACATATTTCAACACTTACTGATTACATGAAGCCTTGGTAGGACTTACTAGATTTTGTCACTTTCTGGTATAGTGTTTGCGAACCCAGGGTTACCTCCACTCTATGAAACATTACAGTAGGACTTTGTTAAAGGATTTGTATATGTATTTAATATATATGTTTTGTTTTTGATTGCCAGGTGCTCAGAATTTTGATGTCATCAGGCTATCAACATACCGGACAGCTTGCAAACTAAGATTTGTACAAAAAAGATGTAATGTAAGTTATTTCTACTTGTTTTTTTGACATTGTGAGATCATGCGTGAATCTTTTTAATGCCTAGTATTATAATGTAAGAAATTTTAATGTGCTAGCTGCATTATTCTTTATCTTTTATGTATTTATGCCTTATCTTTTCATTTGGATTATAAATTCCTTAAGCACAAGTTTGGGTTTCACATTCTTTTATATCTCCTACAGTGAACAGCATGACACTTTGCCCCACGATGGGTACTCAAGCACTATTTGTTAGTTGTTATTTTTATCATGTCAGCATACTTTAATGGGAGGGATGTATTTTTCCTGTATTTTTTTTGTAGTGAAATGCATTTGCCATATTTGCTCTGATTTTAAGACAGTAATTTTTTGGTATTTTTTGTCATCACTTTAATTTATCACTGTCATTTCCCAATATATCCTCCCAGAGAAACATACCTTATAACAAAAGAAAAAAAAGAAAAAATACTTCAGCAAAGCTAACCAACCAAAAAGTCTGACATATGCATTGTTGATCCTCCACTTTGCAAAGAAGTTGGGGAGCATGATTCTGTCCTGGGTCCTCTTTTCTTTTCCTTATATAGTATGGTCTTATCAGCTTCCATGGGTTCTACTATCATCTCTTTGCAAACGATATCCAACCCTACACTGTCTCCTGAGCTCTAGTCCTGCACGATAAATTGCCTTTTTGATCTTTCCAACTAAATTTATTATAGGCATCTCAGATTGAACATCTCCAATGGAGGACTTAGTATTCTTCGCAGTGCTCCCAAAGTGATCTGTAAAATAACTAGCTCACTACCTACCTGGTCTGAGCTCTGCAAATTCCTGATCTGGTTTTGAGTCCTTTTATTAAGGGGTTTTGTTCTGTGAAGTTTGGATTCAGTCAAAGGGCCACACTTGAGGACCTAGAGGACCACATATGGCCTCAAGATGTCAGGTTCCCCACTCCTGGGTCTATTCCTTGTTCTTTGGAGAGCCAGTGCCAGCAACCTTTAGGAACATAGTTAAAGTCCCTGAATGCCTCTTGCTCAGCTGCTAAGAGGGGGATGACCTTCCCAGGATAGTGTCAGATCTGGGACTTCTCCAGTGAATTCCTCATCAAAGTTATTGATGTCTGTTTGCCCTTTGATCTTAGTAATAAAGAGAAGTGGCAGCTGGTGGGTAAATAATGCACCCTAGTCCAGGGTCCTGAAGAATGTTGCTTCCTAACATCCTCAGCTTCCCACTCACCAAAGCCCAGACATCTCTTTGGGTTCTGTTAAGGTAGAATGTATTTCCTCCTCACTTTCTCTTGTAATAATACCTAGTTTACTTTAAAGTTCAACTTGGATTAGTCCATGGGGAAAAGACAGAAAATAGAAGTTGAATTTAGGTATCTGGATACTTCAAAGGGTTGAGGAAGCAGGGAGTAAACTGAAATGCTCTGTGGCAGTTTGATGCCCTGAATGCGCTCTCTAGTGGTGCGTTCCTTTTATAGCAGGCTTGCTTTGGACTGGTCTGTTCCTCAAAGGGAAAAAGCACTGTCACATTTTGGGATTTACATAGTGACAGAGCAGAAGTAATCCTGTATCACTCACCTTATATAACAGATAAAGGGTTCATTTCAGAGACTGATTCTGGATTTTCTGAGGAAATTCCATCCTCAGTGAAACACAAAGGATTTATAGACATTACAGGCAGAACTCAAGGGCAAGAGACATAATCAGTTGGTTGTAGACCTGGCATTGTAAACTAGTATGCACTATTCTTGAAGGGAGCACTCTATGAGATGTGATATGTGCTTGTAAGACTCATCAAACCTGCTAATTAATATTAATTAATTAATATTAAATTAACATTAATTAACATTAAATTAATATGAATTAATTAATATTAAATTAATATTTTTACTTTTCAACATTGAATAAATTTAGAACAAATATGTGTTGGAAGAAATCTGGAATGTTCCACTACAAATATAGGTAGACAGTTGTAGGATTTGGAGTCATAGTTTTTTATTCTCATTTTAGATGACACTGGATTTGTAAGAGAAGACAATATAGAAAATGAATAGTTAGTGATATAGATGCCATCACAGAAATATCTGGTTTTCCCTAAGATATAGCTTCTGATACCAGGAAGATGACTGAGGGAGAGAGTATAGATCTTGAAGACTGGAAGCAATATGCATATTTTGCAGGAAGCTTACTCACCTGACTAAGAAAGCTTTGAATTCTATTTAGAGGGATAAGTACTTTAAAAAAATCACAGAACCACATTCAAAGGAGGACAATGTATGATATAGAAAACTTTAGCATAAAAGTGGGATCCAGTAAGCCTTAGGTAAAAATAGCGAGAAAGATACTTGTAACAAATACTTATGGCTCCAAATACCCATTTTTAATACACTGGTATAAAGTAACAAAACTAAATTAAAATTTTAAACTGTGTAAAGAAGACATTATAGATATCACAGTACAGTATATTATACATACTATTAAAAGAATGTATTAAATGGAGGAATAAATTTGTGGTGGCGGCAGAATGTATGACTCCATGAGACACAAGAAATATTAAAACAAAGTCAAAAGACATATAGAAGAAAATCTAAGATAATAAATTTAAGAACAAATATGTGTTGGAAGAAATCTGGAATGTTCCACTACAGATGTAGGTAGACAGCTGTAGGATTTGGTGTTCAAAGAAAACTAGCTAGAAAAATCAATAGCTTTAGAATCAGAGGACCTGGGTTCAAGTCTTGTTTTTGATGCTTATTTCCTGTATGACCTTGGCAAGTCACTGAAGCTTTGTGGTCCTTTGTCACCTCAAAAAGAGCCATATATATATTTTACATGAAGTTTGTTTTTGCTTAGGATTAATCCTTCCATTAATCTATCCTCCTTCTAATTCCCCCTCTCCTTTTCTCCTTTTCCCTCCTATTTTCTTGTTGAGTGAAATATGTGTCTGTACCCAACTATGTTTGTATATTCTTCCTTTTTTTTTTCTTACCAGATGAGAATAAGGTTCAAATGTCAGTCACTCCCCTCCAGCTCTCTCTCCCTACCCCCATTTGTGTAGATGTCTTCCTGGGCACCATGATTATGTGAGATAATTTTCTTCAGCCTGCCTTGCCTCCTCTCTTCCCTCCCACCCAAGTGTGGTCTTCTTCTCTACTTCCATTCTTTTCATAAGATCATCAGAACATAACAGAACCACTATGAAATTTTATCTAATTGGACTCCTTCTATGATCCCAGTGGTGTTATGGTTAAGAGAGTATGCATGTATCATCTGCCCATACTTCAGTGTAAGTAGTTTATCCTTGTTTAATCTTTTGTCGTTCTTCATTCATGTTTACCTTTTTAATGTTTCTCTTTGCTGCTATGTTTGAACTTCAGAACTTCTATATAGCTCTGATTTTTTCATCAGGAATGCTTAGAAATCTTCTATTTTCTCCAAAATCCATTTTTTTCCTCCTGCAGTATTATATTCAGTTTTGCTGGTTAAGTTATTCTTGGCTGTAAGCCAATAGCCTTTGCCTTCTGGAATACTGTATTCCAAATTTTCTGGGTCTCTGTAATGGAAGTTGCTAAATCACGTGTGAACCTGACTGTGAATCCTTTGTATTTGAATTCTTTCTTTCTGGCTGTTTGCAGTATTTTTTCTTTGACTTTAAAGTCGATTTTGGCTTGGTGTTCCTGAGAATTTTCATTTTGGAGTTTCTTGCAGGAGGTAACCAGTAGATTTTTTAATGTCTTCTTTGCCTTCTTATTCTAGTAGATCTGGGTAGTTTTCTTACTTTTCTTGAAATAGGATTCCAGCTCTTTTCTGGGTCATGGCATTCAGATGACCCAATTATTCTTAATTTTTTTCTCCCAAACTTGTTTTCAGGGTTAGTTGGTTTGCTTTGAAATATCTTCCATTTTCTTCTATTTGTCTTTTGACTTTGTTTTAATATTTCTTGTGTCTCATGGAGTTGTTACCTAGGCAAAAATATGTTACATCATTTGTACTGTGAAGTTGGATGTCTAGGTTTATGTAATACTGTACAATTTTATATTGTGTTATTTAGTGATTATGGTGCCAAAACAAAACAGATTACATGCAAATAAAACAACACTGAGGTACCACATCACACCTATCAGATTGGTCAACATGACAAAACAGGAAAATGATAAATGTTGGAGAGGTTGTGGGAAAATTGGAACACTAATATATTATTGGTGGAGTTGTGAAATGATCCAACCATTTTGGAGAACAATTTGGAACTATGCCCAAAGGGCTAAAAAAATGTGCATACCCTTTGATCCAGCAATAGCACTTCTAGGGCTATATCCCAAAAAGATCAAACAAATGGGAAAAGACCCACATGTACAAAAATATTCATAGCAGCTCTTTTTGTGGTGGCAAAGAATTGGAAATTGAGAGGATGCCCATCAATTGGGGAATGGCTGAGCAAGTTGTGATATATGAATGTAATGAAATACTATTGTGCTATAAGGAATGATGAATAGGCTGACTTCAGAAAAACCTGGAAAGACGTATATGGTCTGATGCTGAGTGAAGTGAGCAGAACCAAGAGGACTTTGTACACAATAACAGCCACATTATGCGATGACTAATATTGTTAAACTGAACCCTTCTCAGCTTTACAAGGATCTAAGACATCTCCAGAGGCCTCGAGATGGAAAATGCTATCCACATCCAAAGAGTGAACTATGGAAGTCAAATCGTTATCACTTATTTTTACCTTCTGTTGAGTTTTGTTTCATCTTTCTGATGGTTCCTCTTATTGGTTTTAATTTTTACTTACAACTTCACTAATGTGAAAATATGTTTAATAGGAATGTATGTGTAAAACCTATATCAGATTGCGTGCTGTCTTGGGGAGGGTGATGGGGAGGAAGGGGGAGAAAAATTTTCAACTCAAAAGCATATGGAAGCGATTGTTGATAAATCAATAAATTAATAAAATTGGAAAAAAAAGAAAAAACAGATTACAAAGTGATTTTGTTATTGAAAGAGATATCTGGTCACGTGGATAGCTGGTTATGTTTACCTTGGAACTGATAGCTGTGTTTTTCCTTATACTTAAAAATTGAATAGGGATAAAGATTAGAAAAAGAATTGGACCTGTGATTTCACTGGGAATCCCCTCTATCAATGCAGATACTCACCTTTCAGTAACAACAATCTTGGGGATTTGTCTAGAGCACTGAAAGGTTAAGTTGCTTACTTAGGGTTGCATAGTCAGTCAGTACCTGAGACAAGACTTGAACTCAGATCTTCTTGGCTTCAAGATTGGCTCTCTATCTGCTAAGACAATTCAATGTGTAAATTATTTGTGATTATATAATTGGAATTTCATTCTGTACTCATTCCTGCCTAATAAATCACATTGCTTCATCTTACATTGCCATATATTATGTTTATATAGTGTTTTATAGTTTACAGAGTACTTTGTTATTTGACATTATCTTCTTTAATCCTTATGACAATTCTGTGAGATAGGCAGAACAATTACCTGAATCTCCACCCTGATACTTTATACCTATACTTGTATGATCTTGGCTGAGTCACTTAATTTCTTTGAACCACAGTTTTTCTTAAACTTTAAAATGAGAAGGTTGTATTATGTGACTTTGAAGCCCACTCCCAGAAATACTGAGAGGTTGTCAATTGACTACACAAGGTCTTTGACACCCAGTTCATTGTTTTTTCAATTATACCATTTTAGAGTCTGTAATACCCTGGCCAACAAGTTCATTAGTCTCCCCAATTTTCATAACCTGTATCATGTACTCTTGTCTCAGTTACTCATAGTGAAAGTCATACCTGTGATTTTACTATCACTTGTCATAGAAGTTTTTCACTTTTTTGGTCAAGAACTCTGGAGTCATTTTGACCTTAACTTCCTGTTCCTCCATCTTCCCCTGCCCTTCATGTCTAAATCTGTTTTTCATCCTCATCATAATTTCCAGTTATTCTACCCAACCTATCACCCCTGGCCTGATCTTACTTTCTTTTCTTTCTAATTTTGACCCTGTAGGTAATAATTTAATGAACCCACTTCTCTCATCTTGAAACCCTTGCTCCCTTAACTTCTCATTGTTCATGCCTTGCCAAACCCCAGCCCAGGGTGACCTTCACTACCTGCCTTCTGAATGCTTTTTATGTACTGCTTATTGGTTCTGGAAGAAGTAATACTGCCGTACTGATTGGGTTCCCTGTGGATTTATCCTATCTAATTTTAACTAGTATATGATAATCCCTTTATTTTTCCATGAGTGGCCTTTTCATTTATTCTCTTCAGAATGCTGTGCAAAACATTAACTTCTCTCCTTAAGCCCTGTGCCATTCCTTCTTCTTTCCTTTCCACAGAGGACTTTGCCTGATTTTGTAATTTCTTACTAGAAATTCTTATTCATTTGTCCTGAGCTACCTTTTCTATACCCCCAAATCCTGAAACCATTCCCCATTTTCTCTTCTGGTCCACACCAGCCCCACTAATGTACCCTGATCCCTCTTCCTAGGTCACCCTGTCAACTTTCAATCTCTGTCCCCTAATCCATTCTCACATAGCTACCACCTTGATGTTCCTAAAGTAGAAGTGGGACCCTGTCATTCTTCTGTTCTTCCCTTCCCCCAGACCCAAAAATTACTTTGTATTTCATTTTTATGTACCTTGTTTTGACTTATCTATATACATGTCATTTCCCCCAGTGGAATATAAGTAAACTTCAAGTACAGATGTTACTTTTTTTTTTCTGTATCTCCCAATACCTAGCATTGCCTTACATATAACATAGTAGCCTCTTAATAAGTGCTTGATGAATGAATGATTGGAACTATGTTTTCTCTGAATTTTTGGGAATCTGTTTTCCTGAAGTCCAAGATACAAATCTGATAGATATGAAACATGTTTTATGCTTTAAAATAGGTGATAGTTTATTTTTTTCTTCATTTTTAGTGCACCTTGTTGATATCTGGAACATGATTGAAGCCTTCCGAGACAATGGCCTTAACACACTGGACCATAACACTGAGATCAGTGTGTCCCGTCTGGAAACCATCATTTCATCCATCTACTACCAACTGAACAAGCGCCTGCCTTCTACTCACCAGATCAGTGTGGAACAGTCAATCAGCCTTCTCCTCAATTTCATGATTGCAGCATATGACAGGCTAGTACTCTATGTGATTGTGTGCTTCATTTTGATAATATTATGCTGATTTTCCTTTTCATAATTTGGCCTTGTCAAATATTGCTGACTGTAGAAACACAATTAAAAAGTAAGTGCCATTGTTTATGTACCTTTTCCAGTTATGAAACATAGGGAAAAATTCAGTCTTGTGACTTGATTCTCTCTAACAACATTACACATGGGTCAAAGCATTATATTGAATCTCTGCTCCCCTGCAGGAGCAAAAGTTTGGACTGACTTTTCCTGCTCTCTATTCTGTTACATTTAGGAAGTACAAGCCCATTTTAATGATAGCCTTTGAAAAATGTAATGAGAAAGGTAAACTTACTGTTTGAAAAAGGCCCTACAAAACAGCATTCCACAACTAAAAAAAATATTTTGTCCTCTACTTTTCATGGTAATAACAAAAAGTTGGCCGTTCTACAGGAGATAGAAATAATTTTAAAAAGGACAAAGTCTAACCATTAGAACCTAGAAAAAAAGAGGAATTTTTCCTTTCATTGCCTCACTTTCCTTCTTTGTAAAACCATTATGCAATATCATATGAATCTGTAAAATGATATAGTGGCTATTATATTTGATGATAAATATGGCATGGGCAAATTATTATGATGTTTAGTTTTTTTTTCACTGTTTGGGTAAGGTAACTTCCATTAAAATGCATATCATTTTGGTATGCTTTCCTGCTTTTTCCTGTCAAAAGACATACAGAAATTTGCTCTTTGAAAATAAAGAATTTAGATGCAATGTCAGCCAGATTATGCCAATGTCAGAACTGTTTTTCATTGTAAAGGACTCAGATTTGAATGATTCTCTAGGATTCATTTCATTCTAATTGATAACATGTGTTCTTAACCTAAGAAATTTTAGTTAAAATTGTTCTAAGGGAGGGATGTGAAACATTTTTGTATGTCACTGACCCATAGAACAAATCTAATGAGGACCCATGTAGTATAAAAAAGCAGCTTAAATTTTTGTTTTAAGATAAAGTAATATAAAATATTTTACTCACCTGTTTTTAAAGTTTATATCAGAAGAACATCACTCAGTAATTGTAACCATAATGAAAATTGTTCTTTGGTTCTGTATATATTATAGTTAATTAATGAGAAAAGATAGAAAGAGAAAAGGAAGAATAGGAATATATAAAATGAAAGAAAAAGGTTTACAGAGAGGAATACATGCCAGTGTATTGAGTGCTAGACCTGGAATCAGGAATTCAAATATGGCCTATCTGTGTAACCCGGAATAATTAAATTAGCACTTAACTTCTCTTTGTAAATTTGTAAACTTTCTTTCCTTAACTGTAAAATGGAAATACAAATTCCAGTCTACCTTGCCACGTTGTTGTGAGGGTCAAATGAGATAATATTTGCAGGAGCACCTGAATTCAAATCTGGCATCAGACATATAACACTTACTAGCTGTATGAGTCTGGGCAAGTCACTTAACCTCAATTGCCTCACGAAAAAAAAAAAGAAGATAATATTTATAGACATTTATAAACATGCCTGGCACATGGTAGGTGCTTTATAAATGATAGTTTTCATATAGTATATATAGGCAGAGGTTGATTTAAATTAGCCTCCTCAGTGCCAAATATTTATTCCTAAAGTACAGGCTGGGGCAGCTAGGTGGCATAGTGGGTAGAGTGCCTATCCTGAAGTCAGGAAGATTCAGCTTCCTGAATTCCAGTCTGGCCTTAGACATTTATTGCTGTGTGACCCTGTGTAAATCACTTAACTCTGTTTATGTCAGATTTCTTCATCTATAAAATGAGCTAGAGAAGGAAATGGCAAACTACTCCAGTACCATTGCCAGGAAAACCCCGAAAGGGATCATAAAGAGTGAACGTGACTGAAACAACTCAACGATAACAACAACAGAATGCAGGATTGGCATCTCTCTCTCATGATGAAGAATCTTTAGTAGACTCCTATGGGGGTAGCTTGGTGGCACAGTGGATAGAACACTGGTCTTGGAATCAGGAAGATTTGTTTTCATGAGTTCAAACCCAGTCTCAGACACTTACACAGTCTCACTAGCTGTGTGATCCTGGGCATTTAACCCTGTTTGCTTCAGTTTCTTTATCTGTAAAATGACTTAGAGAAAGAAATGGCAAACCACTGCAGTATCTTTGCCCAAAACACTTCAAATGGGGTCACAAAGAGTTAGACGTGACTGAAATGACTCCACAACAACAACAATGATTCTTTCTACAGTATTTGGTATTTGAAGCCCTTTACAACTTAGCTCCAACGCCAAACTGTATGCCAAATTCAGAGAACTTGTGTTCCAATCCTAGCTGTACCACTTATTACTTTTGTGACCTTGGATAAGCCACTTCATTATTCTGGTGTCTCAGTTTCCTTATCTTTAAAATAAGGAGTTTAGAATAGATGACCTCCTGAAATCCCTGTGAGCTCCATCTTCCTAGGATGATTTTACATTGCTTCCATCGTATGTTTCATGTTTCTGATAGACTGGCCAACATGCTGTTCTCCATAAATGACTTTCCATCTTTGCACAGATGTGTCTCCTGTCCTTGTAATTCCCTCTTCTTTCGCTTCTGCCTCTTGGAGTTTCTGAATCCCTTCAGTGTTCCACTTAAGTGCTAACTCTTATATGAGGCCTTTTCTGATTCCTTCCATTAACATTTCCCCTCTGAAATCATTTTGTAAATATTTTGTGTGGATTTATCTACGTAAATGTAATTTTTTTTCTTCAGCTGAATATAAGTTCCTTCAGGGCAGGGAATATTTGCATTTTGAATTCGTATTTGTGGTGTCTACCACAGTGCCTGGCACCTAGTAAGTGCTTAATAAATGCTTATTGAATTTAATTTAAGCTAGATGAAGAGAGGTAAGAAATCAGAAAAATGTTAAAAGAGAGGAGAAAGGGAAATGGATAGAGTAAGTAGATTTCGTGATGTGTTTGTGCATATGTTAGACCTGGTTTATTTGAACTATGGGCATCAGAATAAGCGGTATCATTTTAGTGACCATATGCATACTAACATAATTTCCTGCAATTTAACTTTAGCTTTTCTGTTTAAAGTTTTTTTTTGAAATTGAGGTCTATTTTCCCATGGAATTCTAAGTAATTTGAACATCTCAGGGAATGATTTGGATTATAGGACTTTAATTTTCACCCTTAGGGAACAAGATCAGTTATCTAGTATACATTGCTACCTTCATGCTACCTTCATCACTCTTTTGAAAAAACAAAACAACAAAACACAAAAGACAAACAAAACAAAACAAAACCCAAGATTCAGGCTGTCTCATTCCATAGTACTTGAAAATTATGATGTTGAAACAATATTTGTTTACTTGTTCAGAACCTTTTTGGTGATTCAGATCAAAGTTTTCATTCCAAATGGTTCCTGGTGTGTCTATAATAGGGACTTACTGATCTTTTTTGCTTACTCCCCAACCTCCAGAATAAATGGGTTAATATTCATTTAAAACTAATTTTGTTTCTTGTGTAGATTTTGTGTTCTTATGAGCTTTTAGCCTCATGAAGATCTAGTTACATGAAAAAGTATGCATATGTATTTAATATATTTTTACTAACTAATTTTTTCTTTTGTAACTATAGGGTTTGATTTTTTTTCCCTCAAACTCTCTGATATCTACAAAGAGGAATTATATCCACCATATCAAGCTCAAGGACACACTGACACCCTCCAAAAAATACATATCTCCCTTTTGTAAATTGCTTCTTTGCTGTCTATACAGTAATAAGACATCAAGTCAAAAGAAACAACGCCTCTATAGAGTAGTGAACAAGATATCAACCTTGAATGTTAGCACTGTTCAAATTAAATGAATGTTGCTGAATATAATACTTCCAAATGCAAAATGATTAAATTGAGTTGCAGCAAACCAAGAAATTATTCTTCCTTGGGCTCACTGCTATACCTTCATCTCAAGGAATTACAGATAAACATAAAAACCCTTCAAATAGGTTCCATTTAACACATAAAACCATGAATTGTAGTTAATTATGGCTTTAAAAATCTACATACTAATTTAATAATAATAACTGATATTTTTATGGCACATTAAAACTTAGAATGTACTTTTTTTTTTTGGCTAGGCAATGGGGTTAAGTGACTTGCCCAGGGTCACACAACTCATAAGTGTTATGTGACTGAGGCCAGATTTGAACTCAGATCCTCTTGACTCCAGGGCCGGTGCTCTATCCACTGCGCCACGTAGCTACCCCTAGAATGCACTTTAAAACGTTTTCTCATTTGATCCTTACAGTATCCCTGTGAGATAATTGTTACATTTGTTGTTGTTCTCATTTTACAGAAAAACTGAAGTTAGAGAGATTGTAATTTGCCCAGTGTCATACAGCTAGTAAATGCATTAGGTGTGACATACTCTTCTTGATTCAATTTTGTTAATGGCCCATTTTGAAGAGGTAAATTAAACTTTCCTAACCCATTAATACAACAAAACACTTTATCAGTGGAGGCAGAACTATTGTATCTGATGGAGGTTAAGCCTAGAATTAAGGGAAATAAATGATTACTGAGTTTGGAAGTTAGCCAAAAGCCTAATAGCTTGTCTCTTGAGATGTCACTAAATGATTGAACATAGTGGTTTCTGAAAGAGGTCATAGTCACAGATGAATATCGACCCATTTTTCAGGTGACTTAAGTTAGCCTGGAAGAATAGCTAATATTCCTGCTTTTTCTGAATGCAAAAGAAAATAGATATCTTTTAATATATGTGTTCTAAGAAAGTTGACTTTAAAACAACTTTGTATATTATTTCACCATTAAATTCCACTTAAAATGAACCTATGTCCTTATCATCAAAATATTGGTGTTTTATATTTAGCATGTTTTATATTTTTAAACATTTAAATAATTTAAAGGAAATATATTACAAAACAATTAGATTTTAAGAGTCTAAATATTTTAACATTGAAAACATAAATTTACTTGAATATATTACCTGCCACAG